TCTACAGTAAGATTATTGAAATGTCCAATATTTAGAAGCTGTTTTTCTGTCCGTTTGTCCTTGTTTTTATTATCCTGTACCATCTGCCAGATGGTAATAGTTCAAAAAAAGGGTGCCTGGGATGAAATGGATCTTTAAGAAAGCTTTAAACTTTCTTAAGGCAGCGGGGGCTATAAAGCTCTTCTAAAGAAGGGAAAAGGCTACCAATGATCCTCTGGGCAATGACTTTAACGCCCTCTGGAGGGCTGTCCTATCTGCCACTGTGCAATTGACAAACCATACACAGGTGCAGTAAGTTAAAATATTCTCTATGGTGCAGTGATAGGTCACCAGCAGTTTTTCATTCAGTTGTTGTTTCCTGAGAAGTCTCAGGTAGTATAATCTCTGCTGGGCCCTCTTGACCAGTGCTGCAATGTGAGTGCCCCAGGCCAGGTCCTCTTTTATGATAACACCCAGAAACTTAAAACTAGTCATTTGCTCCACTTAATCTCCATTGATAACAAAGGGCTGAATGTCTAATCTATTCCTTCTATAGTCCGTTATAAGCTCCTTGGTCTTATTGGTGTTCAGGACCAAGTTATTGTCTCCACACCACGATGTGGTAGGCAAATTGTTAGGTTTAAACTTAGCAAAAAAGATCTTGTAAGCTGAATAATTAAAGTAATATTGCTGCTTAACTGTCATCTGCAGTTCAGCGGTTCAAATCTCACCGGCTCCAGGTCGGCTCAGCCTTCCATCCTTCCGAGGTGGGTGAAATGAGGACCCAGACTGTGGGGGCAAGTTACTGACTCAATTTGCTAAAAAATTTGTAAACCGCTTAGAGAGGACTGAAAGTCTAAATCTAATAAATAAATAAATAAATAAAATTTGAATTTATGGCTCAATAGCACACTTGATAGGGCAGCTTTTATAAATTATTTATAGAGCTTTATAAGACATTACAACTGATAGCACTGGTTACTAATACATAACAATAAGGAAATATTGTATGCATAAAGTGGGGGGGGGGAACCTAAGCAAAACGTAACTGAAAAAGACAAAACAAAACAAAGTGCTGGTTTTGACTTAAAATCTTTCATGGCATGGAGTTCAGATTATTTGAGACAACACTATCACATTACATCTGCAATATCAGATCTGGCAAAAGAGGCATGCTGCAAGTCCCATTTGTAAGGAAGCTACACTTGGTAAGGCTCAGAAGGCAGGCCTACTTCAATAACCCCACAGAGTATCTTGCATAAAAATCTGTTTGAATTAGATCTATAAGATTTTTGGCAGAAAAGTGAAGATAGAAGAAAGAACTATTCTTTCAAGAACTTCAGATACAGGAAAGAGACCCTGGGAGAAGTTAGAATAAAGAGAAGGATCAAGTCCAGAGTTGTTAGACAAGCAGCACACATAACATAAGCATGTTTGTAAGACTCAAAACCAATGGAAAGAACAGTTTAACAAAAGATAGATGAAGGGAGAAGAGACGAATAAAAGAAAGAGGAGAACGCATTGAAAGGACTGGTTGTGTAAGGAGGCCCCAGTGCTCACTTTGGCTACTTCATATTCTGAAATTGGAGACAACTAAAATTTCTGGATTAGAATTATTAAATTTAGGAATGCTAAATTTGAGCTTTGGGACTCAAGCTAGAACCAACTGAATTCGTGATTCAAAATAACATCCAAATGTATCTTAAATCTGCATCTCTCTGTCCCCAACAATTCTGCAGGAAAAAAAATTATAATTAATCATCCTTAAGCACAGAGGAGCACTCCTTAGCAGCAGTTAGTAAAGATGGAGGTAGATATGATTGAAAAGTAAGAATACCTGGGAGATTTTGAATCACTACAGACTAAATGGTGATAATAATCTTGTTTTTCCTGCTGCACAAAATTAGAATATGCCTAAATGATCTGATAGAAAGATTCACACTAATTGTTGGAAGGATGAGGTAGAACAACAACTTTTCCAGTGAGTCAGCATCCACTGCACAATGTGTAAGACAATTTGAGTAGCGTAAATAATGTGGTTGTGTTTAAGAGTATGGGGGAAAGTCTCTCTCTCTATTTGATCATCTTCTTACCTATCTTGATTTGTTTTGCTCCACTAATTTGTTTTCCCTCACTAATCATGGCCTATTGACTTTTTCTTAGCGCTAATGTTTTGAGCTTATGTGAGAGCTGCTAACTTATCTGCATCACTCTGCACAAAAATTTCAAAAGCTGTTATTACAAAGCTCACACTTTGTTTTATAGATGTTCAATATTCGAGAGATAAATATTACTACTTGTACAGTCAATAAGGATTGCCTAGCCATAAAGTCTGTTGTAATTTCTTTTCTTGCTCATCTCTTTTTGAAAATTAATCTGTTGAAGAGCAACCAGACTCTTCAGAAGGAGATAATGAAGGCAGGAATTCATTCAGATTATTTAATTCCTGAAGAAGAGAGAAAGGATTCTTTTCAAGTTCTGTTTCTAAATTCCAGTTTGGGATTTTTAATAACTGAAGAATAAATAGATAGGATTTTTATCA